TGGTCAATGACATGAGACAAAGTATATGTGAACTGCTGTATGAAAAGTGAATTTACTCTGTAAATCTTCACCCAAATCCTAATAAAAATAAATAAATAAATAAATAAATTCAAAGTTAAAGTATCAAAATTACACAAAAGACTTCATATACCTTCACCCAGATTCAGCAAAGGATAACATTTTAAAAAAACTTTTGTTCTCTTTGCCTACTTATCCAATTACTGTCTTTGGACACGTTTGAGAGCGGGAGACGTGATGTGCCTTTACCTCCACATTCTGTATTTTCTCCCACGAAGGACACCCACTAACTAAATCAGGAAATTTAGTATCCACATGATTCTCCTGTCCAACTCACAGCCAACGTCCCCAGCCCAGGGCCCAGTTGAAGATCACATGCTGTGCTTTGTCTACCTTCATTGTCCTTCCATGGGGAATGTTCACTCAGCCTTTCTTTGTGTTTCATGACATTGATATTTCTGATAAGTGCAGAGCAGTAGTTTTGTAGAATGTCCTTCCAACTGAGATTGCCCAATGTTGCTTGTGTTTTAATTCAGATCCCACACCTTCAGCAGGACAGAGCGGTGTCCCCCTCAGCGCACCCCACTAGTAGATGCATGATCTTAATATTTCCCCTCAGTGAGTGGTGAGGCCAATTCGGGTGGCTTGTCTAAGGTGGCTCCACCTCCCCCCAGGTTTCTCTGTTCTAAAATGGTCCTTTTCCCCTGGTGTTATTTCTAGAGACATCCATTGAAATCACTATGCCAACAGCCTGCTCCCCATAAAACTCTCAGCCACGAATTTTAGGAAAAAAAAAAAACCCACCTCCATGGAGTTGATTCCAACTCATAGTGACCCAGTTGGGTTTCTGAGGTGGTAAACCTTTATGGAAATAGATTGCCCAGTCTGCCTTCTGCGGAGCGGCAGGTGGGTTTGAACCACCAAACTTCTGGTTAAGTAGTCAAATGCCTTAGGCACTATGCCACCAGAATCTATGGATTATCTTGCATTACTCGATTATTAGTGATGAGGGATGCAAAATTTTTAAAATTTCATCACTTCTTTTAATTTATTGTTGGTAACTTTAAGGAAAAACTTCACCTGTCTATTACTTTGTCCTCATGACTGGAACTCACCAGCTGCTCTGCAGGAGAAAGATGAAGTAGTCTGCTTCCATAAAGATTCACAGCCTTGGAAAGTCTATGGAACACTTCTCCCCTGTTCTAGAGGGTTGCTAGGCATTAGAATTGACCCAATGGCAGTGTTCTTTTTTGGATGTTTTAACTTCCTGGATTTGGACTCTTAACACTGACTCCTGTGCCCCACTGACAGGTTCCCATGATGCTGACCACTTCCTCCTTCAGCAATGGCAACCTTCGCTTCTCCCAAAGAGCCTGGCTCACTGAGTGGGGAGTCACACTTAAGAACCATTGCTAGCTCTTATTATGCTTTAATAACTCGTGTTTTCATCATGATGGCTTCCAGATTCCTGAAGTCCGCATTTATAAAACTTCAAATCTGAACTTGAAAAATGAAGTAAAACAACTGCCACCGAGTGCCCTCTGACCCATGGCCCCACATGTGCCAGAGGGCAGCATACCCCACGGGGCGTCCAGGGGCTCCTTTGTCAGAAACGGATGGCTGGGCTTTCCTTCCCATGTACCTCTGGATGGACTTGAATGCCAATCTTTTGGGTGGCGGCCAGGTACATAAGCATTTGTGCTACTCAAGAACTTTGGAAGGAAGAGCACATAATTCAGCATAGTATACTAATTGTTACAGGAGATAATAGATCTTTAAAATGACTTCAGACAACCAAATACAGCTTTACCATTCCTTTACGTAGTCAAATCTATGTCACCAAATTAATATTAGCATTGAAGAAAATGACCTAAAAATTATTCATTATTTTTAAGCAAAATATATATTTGTAATCCTAGCACATTATGAATGGTGACACTTATATCATTCTCTTGTTTCACTCCAGATGATTGCAGGCTCTTGAAATGTTTAGACGTAGAGATAAAAGTCATCATTGGGTGAGGAAAGGGGTATAGATTTTGACATCACACATTCAAAGGCTTCTTAGAAAAATAATTGCAAGGCCTGATTTAAAAGTCCAAAAAGAGAATGACCTCCAACCTCAGTCACATGTGCTGCTGACTTGTGTTTGTAGGGATATCCTGCTTATTGAACATGTTTTCATTAGACCCAAGTGTAAAAAGCTGTGGAACACAGTTTTCTCTACTCACCTATTTCTTTTGTTTACTCACCTATTTCTTTTGTTTAGAAAAGTATCAAGGACATTTTTCTGTATTGAAACATTTCTCTGCATCATACTTTGAATGTTGTTGCTGTTGTTGAATAGCTACTATTTCCTGGGATACCAATATTTTAGTTTAATAAACATATTATCTTCTCAGGTTTTAAGCAATATATTGCTCTAGTGATTAAATTGTAGACACATATTTTTGTGTTTTCCATCATATCTTCACAGTAAATTTCTAGACATTTAAGAGCTCAGTCAAATCAGTCAATCTGTGGGTCTACGTATGTATGTATCAATCTCTATTTGTCTAAAATCAAACAAGCAAAAGTGCTAGCTGTATTAAGGATTTCATTGGAAGAAATTACTTAGGAAGTGGGTCTAACATAACAGCCATGACTCTAACCCCAACTTCCCTTTTCCCATGTGGTTGTCCCACTTTCGTGGGTGATTCCATCATGCTGAATCCCACAAGTGTGTCGATCCCCTGTACTTCTGGGTACAATCCAGTCTGCCTGTTACCAAGCTACTAAGAAAGAAGAAAGATGTGAAAGGAAACTGACACTCCACAGAGTCAGCCTGACAACCTTGTCTGCAGCTTCTTGGTTATCAAACTGAAACTCTCTCTCATGGTCTACCAACGACCCTGAGCTGTCTGACCCCTGAATCAAGGGCAGTGACACCAAGTTGTAAGACATTCGCCTGTGCTTCTTACCACCCAAGTCATCTCACCACAACTTGTCAGCACTATCGTCTATGTGATTGTTGTTGTTGTTGTTAAGTGCCGTTGAGTCATTTCCGACTCATAGTGACCCCATGTACAGCAGAACGAAACACTGCCCGATCCCACGCCAGCCCCACAATCCCTGCTATACTTGATCCCATCATCGCAGCCACTGTATCAATCCATCTCG